TTTTTATTTTTATAAAAGGCCTCTCGCAGGCGCGGAAGCACATGCAGAGAGGCTAGTATCTATAAAGTATAAATTAATGCAACTAGAAGGGTCATTTTCTTTTAATATTTTTTTTAATAAATAGTATAGTCGTGCGGCTATACTCTTATTAAATATAATATACTTAAATCGTATAGCCACCCGGCTATACTGTTTTTACCAAAGACCAAGCGTGCGCTAGGCGCCAGGCGTTTATTTTTATTTTTATAAACAGTATAGCCGCGCGGCTATACTACGGTTTTTAGTTGCTTTATTATCTTGTTTTCCTCTTGGTGGCCAAGGAAGAAGAAGTTAACACATGTTAATTAGTATGGTTTGTTTGTGTTTTCACTATCCTACATTGCTATTTCCAATTTTTGGTGTGGTACTCCACAGCGGCGGACCCAGGAAATTTTCAGCGGAGGTGCAAATTCTAAAAGTTAAGAGCCCAAAAAAAAAAAAAAAAGACAACTAAACATCCTTATAATTTAAACAATACTAATGTTATTCATAATTAATTGAAAAAAAAATAACATTACAATTAATCTGCAATTATATGCATCTGACTTACTTTGGATTGGCGTACTCAAGAAGGAAAAGAAAAATGTAGGATTCTTGTAATGCATACACACTTTGATGAAATTGGGTGATGTTAAATTGGTCCTTTGTAAAGAGAATTCCCAATCCCACTTAAATAAGGAATTCCCAAAACTCAATTAAATAAAGAAAACTTAATTGAGTTTCAATTGGAATACAAAAACCCAATTAAGTGAGGAATTACAAAAATCCAATCAAAACCCAATTCAGCAAGGAATTGTAAATACCCAACTAAAACCCTATAGAAGCCCACGAAATGGCCCAGCTATTTCAGTTTTTTTTTTTCCTTAAACCCTGGTCCAAAACCACGTCGTTTTGGCCAGGCTTCATTAAAAAAAAGAGAAGCGCGCACGCAACGCGCAACAGACAGCAGCGCAACACCCAGCTCTCTTGCGCATTTCATCGAACAGGTTCTGTGCATCTCTAATCTGAGCAGAGTTGCAACTCCAGCAGCTGTTATGGACTTTTCCGGCGACCGGAGGTGCAGGTGCACCTCCTTGCGCCTGCACAGGTCCGCCACTGACTATAATATATATTCTAAACGAGGAGTGTTTGGGTCGGGGATTAAAATACCATCCCCGCCCCTCTCCAAACACCATACCCAAAAAATTCCCCGTACTCAACTCCATACCTATTTTTTATCCTTCATACCCTACCCATTAAGGTCGAATCCCCGCGAAGACCCTTATCCGCGAGAAAAATTGCCATCCCTAAGTTTGGGTAAATATTTAATTCGTTTGCGCTAGAGCGCTCATGAACTCAAGCTCTACGTCATGGGCCAAAGAAAAATTCTGCCACTAGCCTCTAAACACGTGTACTACTACATTTCAAATTTTTGTCATAAGATAATAACGATCATAGTACAAAAAATTCCACTACTACAAAAATGGAAAACTACGATGCCTATTTAATGACAGTAAAATTAAAAAGCGTCGTGTGTTTAAAAACCACGAAAAACCAAGAAGGTTTTTAAAAGAAATTACGACCGTTTCCTTATAAAAACTGCTGTGCTTTAAAAAGCGCTGGACAAAAAATTCACTTTAAGTTTTCGCTAAAGGCAGCTCTCACCACTCTCTCGGACCTTTAGAAACCCTCTCTCTCTCAACTCCCTTTATCATCGCTGAAACACCCTCCATCGCTCCGTCCAGATTGCTCGCCATCCAGGTCATAGATCTTGGCATCCAATTCACTGAGGTCGTCATATCCCTAGAGCCCAGGTTACTGAGGTCGCCAAAAGTATCACCTCTCTCGAGCCCACTGGTCTCTTCTTTTCCAGGCTTCGCCTTCTCTTCGTCGACCCGTTCTCCGGTAAATTTGAGATGATGAAAATCGCTTGATTCGTTTTTGTGAGTGCCGTTTCGTTTGAAGATCTTGCTGATTTCGTTGTCGTCATGGCCGTTTTAGCCACTGATGCAGACGATTTCGTATTAGATTAACGAGATCGATGATTAGATTGGAGAATGCACGAAACGCAGTTTGATTTACATGCGAGATCGATGATTAGATTGGAGAATGCACGAAACGCAGTTTGATTTACATGCGTGTTTTTTGTGTGGCTTTGTTTTGCAGGATTTGGTTTGAGAATCGGAGATGGAAGATTGAGACTGTGTTGAGGTGTTTAGGTGTGGATGAACAATGTCCAACAAGAATGAGAATCATCAGGCGGTTCCGCTCTCGGTGCTGCTGAAGCTTGAATTGGCCAATGAGAAGATTGAGACTGAGAGACCTGAGATTGTGCACGGTCAGGTGAGTCAGAGCAAGAAGGGGGAGGATTTTACGCTGGTAAAGACGGAATGTTAAAGAGTTGTGGGAGATGGAGTTTCTACGTTTTCAATTTTTGGGTATTTTCTCTCTCTCTCTCTGTTTCTTTAGTTTCTTAATTTTATTTGATATTAATCAAAAGGGAAAATATTGCCACCCAATAGTTTATATGTTGCATAAGCAATTTATAACTTTGATGGTAGATTCATCATTTTCAATTCCATTAGCATCTGTATGTTGCATAAGCAATTTATACCCAGAATCCTAAGAGGCTAGAAGCTATGGTTTTGAAGCTATGATGTAGGAGCCATAGAGGCATTGCAGGTGGGAAGAGGCCACTCTTGTGAGAAAGGAGATGAAAGATGTCGGGATCAAGAAGGGTGCAGGCTACAGTTAGATCGCCGTCAAGAATGCAGTCCACGTCTTCCAAGCGGACACCTCCCATGAAAGGATTATTGGTGATGAATTGATACCTTCTAACCATTATTTATGTCATTATTATTCTTTCCAAGAAAATTAGATACACAAAATATTGTGGATTTTCAATGCTCGATTGGTACTTAGCTACAATATAAAATAACAGGTGAATAATCATTTAGTCTAGTAGCATCTAGTTTTTACAGTATTGAATAACAGGTGGATTTTTGTTGACTTGCTTTCTCTCGTTTGTCTTTTGACATATGTAGCTAATTTATGATGCTTTATCACTTAGCAAAAGCTCTATTTCAAGTTTCCAATCAAGTTTTTGGCAGCAACCATCGATTCAGGAGCTAGCTATAGCTTTCTCTTTGTCAAAGTGATTTTTGATGTTCATCTTTTAATTTTCCTTTTATTTATCAGAGAAGGGTCTTTCTTTATTCATTGATCTTCTTGTTTAGTGCAGTTCTTCCACTACCCAGGTAATTATTCTAGGCTTTGTTTGTTATACGTTTTTAATTTTTTCTTCAGTTTCTCTCTAAATTTATATGGTTCAATTTGTTTTTTCGTTTTTGATGGGCATCTGCAGTGCTTGGTTTATAAGCTTTTTTTTAAAATGTTAATACTTAATTGTAATATTATATGCTTTGAGCATTTTTGGGTTGCACGCAGGAAGGCAACGTTTGTGGCTTTGGGTAAAGTGAAGCTTTAGTCACTCCTTGTCTGCTGCTTTATTGAAGTTGTAAGAAAGACCATGGCAAGGACACGATCTTCAGTTTGTAAGAGAACAAGACTATAGAGGTCTTAAGTGCACTACTATGTGGGAAGAGAAGTTAAGGAGAATGATAGTCTCCTCCTATATTGAGAAAAGGAACAAAACAGAGAGTTCAAGAAATGGCTCCAGTGGTTTTTTTTCCCTTAAGCTTTCTCCTTCTTTATCATGCTTTGAGTGCTTTAGTTACATAAAAAAACTCCAACACTTTTGCTCTGGTTATTGTTTTTTATATTTGTTCCTGAATTAATTGTTTATTGTCATGTAAATGGTGAACTGTAGGATTGGTAGAGCTGTACTATAATGGCAGCCATGGTGTGGACATTGAAGGTCCAGTAGAAGTTCGCATCGAATGGGAAATATTTATGAGCAACCACATGTAGTTCCTTTATTTATAAGTATAGGTTAATGCTATAGATATGGTATTTTGTATGGATATAGTAGGAATCAAGATTGGTAAACTATGTAATTACTATTGAATATTCAAGTTTTATGAAAGAAACAATTTTTGAGTACATATATGTATGGTGTGGGTAATAGCATATTTGGACTTGAATTTATTGCTTAGAAAGTATTGTGGTTGTTTTTCTAGTTAAAATCGTTCTATAGAACCATTTGGGGAAAAAAAAAAAAAAAAAAAAATCTAAAATCACTACGTTAGTTTTACATATGATACACGACAGTTTTTTCACAAACAACTAATAGGCGACTGTTCTTTTTAAACAACCGCCATCTTTACCCATAAATGACGACGGTTTTATAAACCTTCGTCTTTACCCATAAATAATGACGGTAATTAACAAAAAACTGTCATCTTTACATCAGAACATCAACGGTTTTACTAAAAACCGTCGTCTTTGCAGATAAACAACGACGGTGAAAAGCCGTCATAGTTTGATACTCCAAAAGATGGCGGTCGATTTAATGACGGTTTTCAAAGCATCACAACGATGGTGAATCGCAGTCGTCCATTTCATTTTTTTATAGTAGCGTTCAAAACTGATTGTTACATTTTCATCCTCATATTTGTTTTTGAATACGTCACTGAATTTCTTCTTTTTCTGTATTCCATGTTTAGGTACAATAAGATTAAGCCAACCATAAGTTAATCTAAAATCAAATCATATTAACTACAAGAGTTTTTTGGAACATGAAACTCCGGTAAGACATACATATGAAATTCAATCTTCTGTAAGGATGGAAATTTAATTACCTCCTACTTTTTGGTCTGAACCTATTTAATTACCTCCTACTTTCATTCTATCATTTGGAATTTTTTACAAATATTTGGCGTCTATATAGCATTATTATACATACATAAAAATCACATTACTGAAAAAAAAAAAATTAAAAATATTGAAATAGGGATATGATTTGAATTTTTCAATACTTCTTAAGGAAACTTTTGAACCATTGTGCCGAGAGTTTTGGGTGCCTTTTCAACTTGTCATTGTAATCTACATAGGTGATACCAAATCGAACATTGTATCCAGAACTCCATTCAAAGTTGTCTAGCAATGACCACGGAAAATATCCCTTCACTTTGACACCATTTCTAAAAAGAAATAAGAAACAAGAAGAAGTTAAATGTATTGATGTTAATCAAATGAATCAATAATTCAAATATAAGAAGGCTAGACTATATATATACTTAATTAATTTGTTAATGAGCACTTACTCAATTGCACTTTGAACATAATAGAGATGACGATTGTAGTAGTCAACTCTATGAGTATCATTAAGGGCTTCCGCAAGTGATAATTTGGGATCATTGGACTCATCCACACCTACAATGTAATGTATTATTATGTAGTCTTTGTAGCACTTACGCATGTTTTACACCAAATATATGTGAAACATGATTATGCAATTATTTAAGGCTAGAAATAATTACCATTCTCAGTAACGTAAATGAGTGGATCATGATACTTTTTCTTTGTGTAGAGTAAAAGATCTTGAATTCCTCTTGGATAAACATTTAGCCAGTCCGAAGCACCCTGCACCCCCATTTGAAGATATTGATGAGATTGTTAGGATTTACATTTGTATGTCGAAAACAATTAATCGTCCAAATTATAAGCAATTAATTTAGTGTTTTGATGTGTACCTTTGGACCAATAGGGACCCCGTTACGCTCAGCTGCCACAACACATATGAATTTCAAAATCTAATTAGTATGTGAAATTTAATTGCTTGAAGTAAGTTCTTAATTTGTACTCACATGAAAGATTAACACGAGCATCTGTTATGTAGCTTGCATATACAGAGTTATTCTGCGGTGCATCGCTTGCATAGTAACCAGCATAATAATTTAGTCCAAGAAAATCAAATGACCCAATCAACAACTTGGATTGTTGTTCTGTGAATTTTGGTAATCGACTTCCAACAAAAGATCGCATGTTTTGTGGATAGTCACCACTTGTCAATGGCTCCGCAAACCTACAAGAACGTGAAATTTTCAAATATTAACTTGATAGTTTCTTATGTACTACTGGCTAGTGAGTAGTAAATATTATATTCATAAGTAAATTACTTGCCATCCAAACATAAAATCCAAAGCTCGTAATGCAGCATTTTTATCTTTCGTTTCTTCCGACAGGGGTACAAACCAATGTGACACTAGTGTTATCCCTATCACTCCTTTTTGAGATGCCTACACAAGAACATTAAGTTTGGTTGATTTAGAGTCACAAACATTTAAAGTAGTCGCTCTCATGTTACCAATTAGAATCCAATATTCTGACAAAAAAATAACTAATTAATTGCACCTGATATTTATTCTTGTACAATTTTACCGCAGTTGCATGCGCAAGGAGTAGGTGGTGTGTTACCAAGTATGGTTCAATAGATGAATCTCCGCCAGTGCAGTTTTGTTGCTGCCAAGCAGAGCAACGTCCAGGTGCAAATGACCCAATTCCATAACCATAGTTACTAAAGGTATATGGTTCATTCAACGTGGTCCAATGCTTTACTCTATCACCAAATTCCTTGTAACAAAGTTCTGCATAGTCTTGAAAATGATGGCTGTATATACATACACAATTGAAAATGTATATGTTATAATTCTATTTATTTAATAAATTATCAATATTATTCAGAGGATAAAATTTATTCACTTACATAATACGAGGGCTTAAAAAACCACCGTATTCTTCTTCTAAAGTTTGGGGAAGATCCCAATGGAAGAGTGTCACAAATGGCGTCACACCTATAATACGGCGAATTAAAATGTTTCGATTAAATGATTTGTTTATGAGTGCATGTAATTGTTATCGTATTGATGATTGATCATGGAAGGTGGGATGACTCACCATTGCGTAGGAGCTCATTGATGAGATTGTTGTAGTATTTGATTCCTTCCTTATTCACGCCTCCACTTAACTTTCCATCTAATAATTAAAATAAAATCAGAAAATACAAAAAATAAGTGAATCGTTATACAAGTTAAAAAAAAGCTGGAATATATGTTATGGGCCTTCAAATTCGACCTCTATATAATATATTTGTTTCAATTATTTCAATTAAATCTTTTAATTGAAAACAAAATTTTTGTTTATATTGTACAGTAGACAACATGAACACATTATTTAAGTTAAAACAATGAAGGCAGAAATATTGACGATTGGTCACAAATAAAATGTGAGGATGTAGATGAACTTACTTGGTAACAATCTGGACCATGAAATAGAGAACCTATACGCATCCCACCCCATATTCTTCATAATCCCCACATCTTCCTACATTATGTAACAATAAAACATGTCTTCAGGAAAGAAAAAAAAAAACCTAAAAATTAAGGATTTCGTATTCAATGTTGTGTTTTTTTCATGCTTCAAAATTTCATATCTCCACATTGGGCTCTTCCAAAAAAAAAAAAAGGTCTTGAGGATAAAATTATGTGATTGGTGTACCTTATAACGGTGATATTGATCCACAGCGACATCTCCATTGCTCCTATTAGTAATCCTTTCTGCAATTAATCACAAAAAATCTCAATTATTTAGAGCATAAAGTTCACTGAAATCATAGAATGTAAACTAATTTCTTTTCGAAAAGAGAAAAGTAGCTCGATTTTCATATTTGATCTAATTGATGATTTGATTGGACAAACCTGGATATTTATGGGTGTAGATATCCCATATGCTTGGTCCTCTACCATATTCTTTTGTAGCACCTTCATACTGAAATATACACACACATTTCATATCTCCACATTGGGCTCTTCAAAAAAAAAAAAAAGGTCTTGAGGATAAAATTATGTGATTGGTGTACCTTATAACGGTGATATTGATCCACAGCGACATCTCCATTGCTCCTATTAGTAATCCTTTCTGCAATTAATCACAAAAAATCTCAATTATTTAGAGCATAAAGTTCACTGAAATCATAGAATGTAAACTAATTTCTTTTCGAAAAGAGAAAAGTAGCTCGATTTTCATATTTGATCTAATTGATGATTTGATTGGACAAACCTGGATATTTATGGGTGTAGATATCCCATATGCTTGGTCCTCTACCATATTCTTTTGTAGCACCTTCATACTGAAATATACACACACAAGAGAACACAATGAAGATGTCAATATTCTTGCATTGATCCATGGTCTGAATTTGAAAGAAAACCCTAACCAATCAAAACACAAGTTATGCATTGAAGGGTAAATTAAGGACCAGAAGGACTTACTTGGTAAGCTGCAGAACCTACACCAAATATGAACCCTTCTGGAAAACTGCTCCTATTGAAGGAAGCAGTGTCATAATTAGTGGGTGTAGCTCCGATATCAGCTTTGCTATTTGTCAATGCAAAGCCAATTAGAAGAACCACGCCTAAGACCAAAGATCCTAATTGCTTTGCCATAATTCGGGACTTTTTTTGTTGGTAATCTTGATAAGTACAAGGTTGTTCTGGCTGCGAGGGCGCATGAGAAATAGTAAGTAATTAAATTATTTTTTTGTAAACACACGTGGGATTAAGATATTGCAAAGAGAAGTTTCATATTTCACGAAGTATGAAACACGCAATGGTGCAAGTAGCCACTAAGTTTGATCAAGTCTCCTGACCAAATGGGTCAAATTGTGAAAAGAATTTGACAGACACTTGATTCGTTGACATTGTTAATTTATAGATTGTTAAATTTTGTGATTCTTATTTGATTTCTACCTCCGAATGCCATCTAGAATTGTTGGGGTTTTCAAACATTGGAACACTATGTACTGAAGCTTTAGGCACTTACTTTGGGTTGATTCATTGTTTCACTTCCTCTAGCTCAATTGTACCTGAAAAACGGATATATATACACCATAACAACAAATTAGTGACAGTGAAAAAAAAGGTATGATATTAACCAACTACGACAAAGGGTTTGTTAACACACCACTGCAGGCATGTTAATACAGGCAAAAATTCCATTCGGTAAAAAATTTACTAAAAAAACA